ATATTATTTCTCAACTCCAACATAACGAAATTGTATCGAATTATCATCCACCCCGTGCAGTACAGAGACAATAGTATTGACATATCAACTTGCTCATGTGCACATTCTAAAACAGATCACTACTGAAAAGACTCTTGTAGATTATTAAATTTTAGTAACAGCTGTGTGTAAAATTGAATTGTCTTTATTAATAATGATGTTACATGTTTTGTATTACAGACATTAAAATGTGGGTCTTAAAAAAAGTCTTTTTGAAAATAACAACCAGGAATAGGTTTGGATATTTCCTATTCCTGGTTGTTATTTTCAAAAAGCTTTATCAGGACATGTTTAGATTTAGTTGTAATATACACTATAAATGTAAATTTTTATTAAGAATAAATAAATTTGCTAGTTTTTTAATGAAACACTTGACAGTTTAGTGTACAAAGGTGAGCATCTTTATTAAGTTAAAATGTTTTACGATACATGACTAATCATAGTAAAATAAGGTAATTAATATCAAAATAATAATTTTTCACATGTTTTCATCTTGTATTTTGTTATACACATGATGGAGTGAGACACTCAGCACAGTGCATAGTTTTGAAAGTGATCTTTTCTTACAGATGCTTGAAGCACTACTTTTAGCTTGTTGCATCTTGATGGCACAGTTTTGGTAAGTTGAAGGTTGAATACATGTCTATGATCAGTGTAGAGCAACTAAGTTTTTATATGCATACTAGTTTTCGAAAACAAATAAAATTTAATGCATAGGGAAATAAATGTAGAACAATGAATATCAGATATGATATGCATATTTGATGCAAAACATAGCAAGAGAGTGTCAGACATAGAGCAAGTAAGTGTGAATCCATGTTATATAGAAACTGAAAGGTAGGTTATTAAAAGTCAATTATGAATCAAATAGAAATAGATAATTATATTCTATCATTTTCACGGACACCACTTAAGCTATGCTTTCTTGCAGGCATTATATGTTAGATTGATATATCCTGGTATATTTAAAAAAATTTTACATATTCAGACAAGCAAACTCATATAGATGTAACAATATTTAATAAATCTACAGAGAACAAAACAGTTATGAGTGTTCAGTGTACAACCCGGTTTTATGAGTTGAGACAAAGAAAGTTACAAAAACAAAGAATAAAACACATACTAAAGAAAAAGTAGCTAATAGGTGTTTACGGCAGTCTATGAAATGAACCAAAGCTAAGTTATTGCAAAGTAAAGTAAATATAAAGTTGTAATGAAGGCAAACTTAGCTGAATATGCAGATATGTCTGAATGCATGTCCACAAAGTGATAAGCATATGGTTTTAAATGAACTGAGCTTGCGTATTTTAGACCTAAATAAGTCAAGAAAGTCCATAGAAATTGTATTTAGTGTCAGGTTTATTTTTTTAGGAAATTACAAGTGGTTTAATGTTGCTTGTGTAAAATACTTTGCAAATTAAAAAACAAAAGTTGAAATTGAAGACGGTCATCACGTGGTGACAACAACATTGTGCCATTGCATAGCATACTCATTGTATTAAAAGGTTTGACTAAGCAAAAACAGGTAAGGTGATTCTGAATGGAAAAACCAATATGCAATCCAGACTTCTCAGACATAGGCATTTCTAATGACATAAGATCTGTAGAGTTTGATCAAGACATTTGCAAGAAGTGTTCTAGAGATACAAACAAACAAATGCAAGTATATTATTTATAAATAAAATTCAAGTGGAGGGCTTGAAAACTACTGCAAATGTTTTGGGGGTCATGGCTAGTGTATATATTAATAAACTAATAAATGCAAACATAGTTTACATATACATATGCTCATGTATGTATGAAAATGTATATTTTTGAAGTACCTGTCACCATTTCATTAATCGCTCTTCATGACGTAGAACCAGCTCTTGATATCTTCCAATGACTCCTTCTTTGTTCAGTTCTTGCAGGGGAGGTTGGACCATTTCGTTCCTGAACAATATTCTTTTACTACTTATGTATGTATGTGTGTCTATATCCTAACCATCTTAAAATTGATTATATTCAAATGTAGTAATGTTAAAGAAATTTAAATTTAAACACAATTCAGTAATTCTAGGCAGGCATGTAATTAATTCATCTTCTCAACCAGAACCTTACCTATCTTGCTATGACATCAACCATTCATGAACTATATAATATAATGAAATTTTTCCATCAATTGGCAAATTCTATATGTACTAACATATGCAGTAGGTCTCTAATGATTGTAAGCCGCATAGATCTTTATTTTCATCGACAATGAAACATTCATTATTTCAAAGGAGAATGATTCTCATTTGGAATTCTTACTTTATAATTCTCCTTAAAAATTGTGGAGATATTCATCGTTTTATATTTTACTGCTCAATGCCTCTAGAATCATAAATTCTTGTGTTTGTGTTTCTGCATTAACTACTAAGGATTCAACATGTTTGGATTGATTTTAATTTCTGTGTGAACAACTAGCATACTCTGGCTAAATTAGAGGAAGTCTCATTTCAGTTGATCCTGCTGATGCTCAGTCTCGACTTTCTTACTCCAAGTGGAACATTTTCCATCAGTAATGTCAGCAACACCATCTATACCTAGTTCCTTCTTTAACAAACTTATTTTACTTGTCCATTCCTTTTTTAAATTTCTAGTCTCTTACTCTACATATGTTTCAGTTTTTTTTATCTTTGCAGAATGACCTTCCTTCTGTAACTTTATGTATTTGTTTATTGTCACTGTGATTTCTATGTTTCAGTTGCTTACACGTAGCACTTGTTTGATCATTCATTTTTACCTAAGGCATGGCCATCTGAAGAGGTTCATATATGTTTGTGCTGAATTGTAATGTGTTTTCTGAGTCAGGTTTCATCAAATTCAGTGTTTTCACTGGTAGCTTCCTTTGGAGGATATTGTTCAAGCTAGCATAGTCAAATGTGTTCACAACCTTTAATTGGAATAGTGTTGTTTTGTCATTTTATGAATTTCACTTTCCCGTACTAATGGTCCCACAAACACATTTAGCATTTAAAAATATGCAATTCTATATTAAAGGAAAGAAAAACCAAAGTGAGATTTTTTTCCGAAGTTTACAATTAAAACTTTAGCAACTTATCTGGTGTCATGGGTGAAAATATCATTTACAACTAATAAGTCAGTGAATTCTAACCATTACACATCCTAGTTAATTATACAGGATATTGCCTTCACTAATTTGTGAGTACTTTTTAAAATTATTCTTGTTGTTATCTATATAGTAAGCTTAATTTTGCTTATAAATTGTTAATAATACCTGTCTGTCATTGGGCTGGATGTTACTTTGGTAAGAAAGTTTCGTATTCAGCATCCACAATGTGTTTCTTTGTAGTTCCCTTGACGTTTGTTATTGTAAAAGTTTTTGGAGATGTTATCCATTGCCTTGTTTCACCAGTTATTTTAAACTTTCATTGGTGGTAGTGTCCAGAGTCACTGATGAGGAGTGGAATTCTCCAAAACTAGTCTGGCTCACAGATACACATCCCAATGAAAGAACAGACCATTTCAAGCTTTTACTTGTTGTTAAAACAAATGTTTAAACAACTCTACTTATTCAAGTTTTTAAAATGATTTTATTGACTTCACATGTTAATAACATATACATCTTTAATAAAATAACTTTTTTAAACAACTAAGAAATCGTTTGTTTGTTTGTAGTTAAGCACAAAGCTACACAATGGGTTATCTGTGCTCTGCCCATGATGGATACCAAAACCCATTTTCTAGCAGTGTAAGTACACAGACATACTACTGTGCCACTGGGGGACCAACTAAGAAATAGTATGTGGTTTCTGTGAATAATGAAAATATTATAATTAAAAACCTAATTTTAATAATGCTGCTTTGATTTTGAGTGGCATATTTCTCATTCAGAAGATCCTGAAAAGTGGTGTATTGTAAAAGTTTGTTTACAGATTTTTCCCATAATAATTATGAAATTACAATAACTTCAGAGTAAATGTAAGAATAACTCTCCTAACATGTGTGCACACTGTAATACATTTTTACAACTGTAAGTACATTTAAGTACCCCTCTAAGGCTGTAATGGTAATAATAAGCAAAAATTGTTATATCTATTTTATAAATTTCAAGATAGTCTTTTATTATTTTGTCTCAAATTTTGCAAGCTGTCACAAAATCATGTTCTATTAAAAATCTGTGATAAACAATTTATATTCTAATTCTGTTAGTTTAAAAAAACTGACAGATTTTAAATTTTAGTTATTATTACTAAATTAATTCAGTTGTAAGTCCCACATACAACTCAATTGTTATCAAACAGTATGCATTTACCATTGAACTTCAAAAACTCTCTCCTCATCACCTTTTGACTATTTCAGCCATATAAATAAATAAATATATATATATATATGCTGTATTATTTATTAATAAAAATAGGGTGATGCATAACTACTGGATGAATTTTAATATTTTAAAAATAATATCACAGTAAAGATGATACACTATAGTATGTGTAAGTTTTAAGATGACAAATACAAAGTCAGGTAGAAAGTCAAGAAGCATTCCTTATAAATAGTAAATGTTTTTATCCATCAGTACAGTTCTATCACATTTTTCTTTTATAGTATCACAACAAGGAATTTTCCATTCATAGTGTCCACTGCATATAAGTTGCCTAAAATTACTTCGTTCAATAGAATGAGATCTGTCTTTAAACACAGACTTGAAAAAGTTAACTAATATTTTTGCCAGCTTATTTATACCCATGGCAACTGATGCCAATGTGAACACTGGATATCTGATGGAAATTTTTATGTAGGTATTTTGAAGATAAAAGTTTGACATACACATTTTAAACTTCCAATTTTGTAAGACTATTGTTATTTAAATATTATTTTCATAAATATGTATACATTCTTTGCAAAATTCTTGATATCAACAAATATATAATATAAATATAATTATAAATACTTGTCATTTCCTACTTTTCAACATTTGTTTGGCTACTTTAATATATGGATTTCAGCCATGTGCACCCATCAAATGTTTTGCCTAAATCCACCACTAGATTCACTATCTTTTAAATAAATGTTAAATATTTCTATTTAATCTTTCTCCAGTAAAAGTGTTCCTCATATCAATTACAAATCACATAGCTGGTAAGCATATAGAAAAAACAAACAACCTCATCATTCTTCTCAACATACAAAGAAAATATTTTTGTCTTGCTGTATATTTGTTTTGTATACTATGATAAAAGAAAAAAGCTTTTCAACATATCCAAAATTTCCTGCACTCTATACTCATACTTCTAAAATAACTAAGCTAGAATAGAAGGGGCTAGCACTTTGTTTGTTTTTGTGTTGTTGTTTGTCGTTTTTTTTTTGGGGGGGGGGGGGCACATACCATTCTACACAGTTCACATAAAATTTTGCACAAGAAAAATAAAATAAATACAAAGTAAACAGGCCAGAGCAAAAAATAATAAAATATATCTTAAGTTCAACTATATTTGAAAAAAAAAAGTGTTTACTTGTCTAAATAACAACGTTAATTATATTATTTATCAAAGCTGATAATTTTTTTGCAGATGTTCAGGGCTCTAAATTTCAG